TTGGGTGGGAGATGAAAGGTGTTAAGAGCTTGTATGGGAGGGATTAAAATCAGATTAAAATTGAAAATATAGCCGTTATTGTTGACTTTTATTAGACGAGTGGGACCCAATAACGGCTATATTTCCAATTTTAATTTGATTAAAAGCTCTCTCAAACAAGGCCTAAACCTTCTTTTTCTCTGGACTCGTAATAACTCTCAGAAATATTATGCAAGATAGTACAGAAGGAATTCTTAAGCTGCTATTTGTTAAAAGGATTTCTGTAGTCAAGTTCAGATTTATTGAGAAATAACGCATAGTATTTGTTGTAATTTTGTTCAGACATATAATGAGAAGTGATTTGAATTGATCAAACATTAATGTGAGAATATCAAGTGTGGAAACACCCAGAGGAAAAAACCGGAGATTGACAAAAAATCGCCCAGCCTCATTAATAGTATACCGTAGTCGAGATGCTACACTGGGCTAACACCCAGATTTGTTCTGGGCGATCATACTGTTCAAAAGTCGTGATCGTTGCATTTGAATTTTCTGATGACGCTTTGATAGTTTCGACACCTCTTTGGTTTGAATTTGGCACCCATTCGTACATTAGACTTGATGTTCTATCTATTGGATGATTTTCTTGTTGAAAAAAAAAATAACATTAACATCAAATATAGATACATCCAAATCAAATATCAAAACCTAGATTTCTTGAAAGTGTTCTTCATGTTCTTGTTGAAGTTTATATTACTTGATTTGAACTTGGATTTAATATTTGTTTACTTCTATAAACTATCTGCCATTGAAGCCTTCAAACATTCATCTAGGTGGCGGCAAATATCGTTTAAGGACAATAATTCTTTATTGTATTCAAACCTTTCTTTTGGTAGATTTTAGGTTGCTTTCTTTTTTTATTTATTTTTCTTATTCATAATCTTTGTATAACAATCTCAAATTATGTTTTGATATCGAGAACGAGACAACCATGGCTACTATCAAGATGATTAATCAAGACGTTTGTGAGGCTCAACGATTCGGCGAGCGGGCCTGGGTTGTAGTCCAAAATTTGTGGGCCGACCCGGAACCTGTAGCGGGTGGGCTTTTTTCCACGTGGGCCGTTACCGAGCTCATATATTGGCAGGCCGACCCTGCTCGGCCCACCCGGATTGACACCTCTAAGAAGATATGAGAATCATTGGAAAATAAATACAAGGCCGAGGAGGAAGATACAAAATCTTTCTTGATTTCTAAATATTTTGATTTCAAGTT